CTTACTGTTGCATTTACCACCGCAATTGCATCTGATTATCTTCAGGAGGCGCTTTGGTGCTGCAGAAGACGCTACCCCACCCCAGTCTTCAGGAGAGATGTCACTGCCACAACTCCCTTGCACTTGACGTTAAGTCCGATAGCTATGCAGGGCAGCAACATCACTCGTCGGTGGAAGCTTTTCCGGAGGGACATATCCTGCAGAGGTCGTCCCTTTCATCTGGAACTTCGCCACACGTGCAGAGTCGAGGTTTGTTGATGCTGTACACCCATATATCTCAGGAAGTGCATTCTCTCCTGCCTTTTAGATTCTCTCGCTTAGGGGGAGTGTGAAGACATGAAGATCGAGGTTGACTTTTGCATTGCTATATACTTTGAGAGAACATTCCTTTAGCATGCTGTCCTAGCTGCCATCTGGCGGTCCGGTACCGTTCCCCCTGACCTGTTGAGGGGCGTGGTCATCCCTCTCTGGAAGGGGAAGGGGGACCGATGGGACTGCAGCAATCACCGAGGCATCACACTGCTCAGTATACCAGGCAAAGTTCTTGCCCCCATCCTTCTGAGACGGATCAGAGACCACCCACTGAGGCATCGGAGGCCGGAGCAATCCGGATTCACTCCTGGGAAGTCCACAATAGACCGGATCCTTGCGCTTCGAGTCACTGGAGAACGTCGTCGTGCCACGTTCACTTTCTTATCCGGTTTCACTTTTTCCTTCTGTTTGCAGCTCGTTCTTTGAGCTTTTCTTCTCTCACAAGATCAATATTCATAAGTACAAATATCCGCAAGTGTGCATTTATTTGTGTGTATGTGTGTGTGTGTGTGTGTGTGTGTGTGTGTGTGTGTGTGTGTGTGTGTGTGTGTGTGGTTGCATGTACATATATGGCTATTAAAGTGCTGCGGAAACTGCATTGTGTTCTTTTTCACCAATAGTTTGATTCGATTCAATTGCTGTTAAGAAGCAAACACGATTATTAAGATATTAAGCCGTATTTGCAAATAAAAAAAAAGAAAACCTTACAGAAAATAGTTAAAACTAAAAAAAACAAAAACAAAAAAACACGATACCTATTGAGCTATAATTGCAAATAAAAAAACAAAACCTTACAGAAAATAGAGTTAAAAAAAATACACGATACCTATTGAGCAGTATTTGCAAATAAAAACAAAACCTTACAGAAAATTGAGTAAAAAAAAAAAAAAAAACACGATACCTTTTGAGCTGTATTTGCAAATAAAAAAAACAAAACCTTACAGAAAATGGTTAAAAAAAAAAAAAAAAAAAAAAAAAAAAAAAAAAAAAAACAGAAAGAAACCTTTACATTACGACAGCAACCCCTGTAAAATCACAATCCTACCAAAGGGAAGAGGGGATCCCAGTGTGCTCTCACGCCCGGGGCCCAGCAGCCACGCCCCAGCCGGCCTGAGGTCGCCCTCCTCACCCGCGCTTCCCTCGCTTGCCAAAAGTAATTACAACTTGCTGTGAGTCTTTCCTCGTCAGCGAGTGAGAGACGGCGGCCGGGTCGAGGCTCATTAGCAAAAGCAAGTCATAGTTTTTTTGTTTTTTTTTTAAGAGAATGGATGAAGGGGTAGAGTAAAAAGGTAATTCAATTAGGGATTTCACGAACTTGGTGTGCTAATTTATTGGAAGAATATTTTTACCAAGCTCTTCTGTACAAACACACAAAGTTCCTGCCAAGTTTCGCGGTAAAATGGCGAGAACTTTGAAAACACCAAAATGAAATGCGTCACGTGTTAGGAAGGTTATGAGTAGTTACATTTCCTCCATCTGATTAATTATTTGAAAAGCAACATATCACAGTAGAGATAAATGACACGAAAAGACTACTAAGAATCCTTTAATCTTTTTCTTAATCTCCTTTTCACTGTCTCTTCTTCAAATGTTTTATTTCTTCTTCTTCTGAGCCCATTGATATCCATCATCAATATATGTGTATTTATAATTTGCTATATTTATTTTTAAAAAATCCATCAAGAAAAAAAAGAGATAAAGAAGGGATGAGAGATAGGGAGAAGAGAAAGGGGTTGGAGTAAGGAATGTGACAGACACACACACACACACACACACACACACACACACACACACACACACACACACACACACACACACACGAAACACACACACACACACACACACACACACACACACACACACACGAACACACGCGCGCGCGCGCAAAGAGGGGAGAGAGAGAGAGGGGGGGGGGAATGAAGCATGTATGTATGGATGGAGGCTAGAGAAGGCCGCCTCAGGTCAACCAAGCAAGTATGTTTCTTTTTTACCTCGTTTACTACTGGTTTGTGTTTCCGGCCAGTTTGTTAAACATCGCAATTCGGGATATCCCCATACACTCATAATTTTGTTTGCGGCTCGCCCGAACAGTTCAAATGAATTTGTTAAACGAGCGCAAATTGCGTTGGGCCAAGCAAGCGCCATTCACTTTGGGCCCCAAACGTTCGTCGTTTTCGAACGGTTGGCACGCCTGTTGCCCTGTCAGTGGATGCAAACAGCTGAGCACAAATCAGCTATCCTGGGAAAATGCATGATCCTGCTAGTATTACTAAGAAGCAGGCGACATGGGAGAAGGTCACCGGGAGCTTCAGTGCGCTGTGCCCTCATCTCCCGCCCAGGAACACCTCCCAGTTGGAGCGGGCATTTGAGTGCATCCGCGCCAAGTAAGTTTACTACTGTTGATCACTTTGCATTATATTTATGTCTTTATGCTCAACCAGGGTTGAGTATAACTCAACATGGGAGGGAGGATGGCTCTGGGCCATCCTCCATGGCCATGGGAGCCATCCTCGCGTGGCTCTCCTGGGAGGGTCTGTGAGGCCAAGGCGAGGACATTTGCAAGGGAGAATTTGCCAGTTATTTTCAGATTCCTCTACTGTTTTCAATGTTTTTTTTAACATTTTACATTACATTTGAATTAGTTTCTCAAAATACGCAGTTCAGGTTAAACAAATACATTTTCATGAAAATAATAATTTAATGATGGAGGTTTAGATCAACCTAAGGCCATAGGGGAAGGAATGTGGCCTTGATATTTAAAACCACTGAAATATATTTTTCACAAAAAAACTTTTTCTGATTATTTTTTGAATAATTGTTTTTTTCACTAATGTATAAGTAATAGGAACATTAGGTAATTAATTGTGTATACTAGATATAAATAATTGTATTATATTAATTACCAGTGAGTGCAACAGCCATACTTATACATATGAATTACTCCTAAAACTGAATTACATCATAAACTCCCATCCTCCTTGCAAAACTTTTCTTCTTATGTTTATCATACTTTCTTGTGGTTATCTGAATGATTTATGTATATATTTATTTATGGGGCTTTTCTAATACTTTATCTAACCCTAATGCTGATTTTCTGATTAACAGGGTGAAGAAAGAACACAGCGTTTACATCCGCAAACGGTCTGCTAATCTGATTTTACAGAAGGATATAGGTAAGATATGTCATATTTTTTGGTCATCAGCATATCATAAGAATATGTTGCCTGTGTGAAATACAAAAATTAATTAAAATACTTAATCAAGATGTTGCAGCATCTTCGACATTGACGTGTGTCAATAACATTTTGAAATAGCTTAGTGCAAATAGGAGCATTTGGATTATTAATTTTATTAATAAAAATAACATGTTACTGTTGCATTTCAGAATGGATAGATGCAGAGAATGTTGAGGACCCTCCAGCATTACCAGACATATTCACAGCATCTCCACCATCTCCATCTCCAGGTCCTTCTAATCCTTCATCAGGTGTACCTTCTCCCACACCTACACCAGATCCAAGACCATTGCCTCCTAAAGTTTCTCCTTCCACTTCACAGCCGAGAGAGGGCAAAAAAAGAAAACTTAGCACCGACAGGAAAAAGTGCTATGCTAACACCAATAGCCGTCAGGAGGAACTGCATAAAGCACAGCTGGGCCTAACAGAAGAAACTCAGCACCAGCTTAGAGAGACATGCAGTGCTGTTAGGGAAGCTGCCAGGGAAGCACAACATGCCTTTGCCTCTATTGCGAATGACTCCAAGCGGGTGGCTGACAAAGTGGTATCATTTCTGAAGGAAGCAAGAGCCCTCATGAAAACCAAATTTGAAGAAAGGTAATATTTTTGTTTATTTTTGACACTGAATGGATATTTTGTTAATTTTACGTTTGTTCTGTGATACCGAGTAAACTTGCAATTTTACTCCTGTGATATCTAGTAAATATGTGAATTATTTCCTAAGGAATTAATTTTGTTTTGGTATTTAGATGCGAGTACTTTGCTTATAGTACCGAGATATCTTGTTGATTTGCTGCTGTGATGTTGTATATAACTTACTGTGATATGGATTAGTCTATTTTATTTTATTACTGATACAAAACCAAATATTGTAATGATACTGAAGAGCCGATTTTGACTTGTACCCTTCCAGGAATAGAGTTTTTATTTTCTTCTAATTCTTACAGATATCATAATGTATTTTTATGATTACCATTTTCATGTAGACCATATTTATAACCTTTATAAAGATGTATATCCTTATTAAACTAGTATGTAGTGAAATAGACCTGCAGTCAAGGTGAAACAATAAACTATGGTTTAATTCAATGTTTTTTTATTTAAAAAAAACATTAAAAAATAACATGGTAGTAAATATTAAAGTAAACTATCAATAAGCAATAGTGGACTGAATTATTTAAAGACAATAGTAATACAAAAATCAAATAAAGAAACAGATTTATAACATACAAAAAAGTTTCATTAGAAAAAAAATATATTAAAAAACCTTCCTGATACTAGAAACTTTAAAACAATAAAATATCTTGCCCTATTATTTGAAGTTGGTAATGAATATACCATATTGCAAAACAATAAAATATCTTCCCTGTTATTTGAGTGTAATGAATATACCATATTACAAAACAATAAACATCTTGCCCTGTTATTTGAAGGTAATTGTCTTGCCGTTATTTGAAGTTGGTAATGAATATACCATATTACAAACACGTAAATAAAGGGAAATAAATAAATATGACAGTATTACAGATTTGAAACATAAAATTAATCTAAAACCATCTATGTATTACATTGTTCCTTACATAAAAGGCACCATTTGCAGTATTTGCATGAACCTCTTGAACATCAAGACGTTCATGTGACTCATCAGTCTCTCCAATGTCTGGTGGGTCTGTTTCATGGAGGATGGCTATGGTGTGTAGAACTGTACAGGCCATTATGATTTTTTTTGTAGTTTCCAGCTTTGTACGAACAGGCTGGCTGAGGCAAGCAAAGCGTCTTTTCAGAACTCCAAAGGCGCGTTCAATTACATTTCTGGTCTTTGTGTGAGCTGTGTTGTAGCGCCTCTCTTCGTCAGTTGTAGGTCCCTGGACAGGTGTTCAAAGGCAGCTACGACAAGGGTGCCCACTGTCTCCAAGCAAGTATCCAGGATGATTTCCTTGCTCGAGGATATGGCACACATGAGAATTTTCAAAAATTCTGCTGTCATGCACACTGCCTGGCCAGCTAGCAATAATGTTCATGAACTTTAAATCTGCATCACATATATCCTGCATACTGATAGAAAAGTATCCTTTTCGGCAGCGGTAGAGTTCTGCATCATTTCCTCCTGGTCCTCTGATGGGAATATGTGATCCATCTACACAGCCAATAACTCCAGGCATCCCTGCTATCATCTGGAACTTCTGGATGTTTGCAACCACTTTTCTTGCATCCGGGAACTTGATGTATTCTGAGGCTAGGGACGCAATAGCTCTGGCAGTCAGACCAACAAACTTGCACACAGAGGTTTTTGACATTTGTGAGCAATCTGCCATTCTCAGTTGGAAGCTTCCAGTTGCCAGATAACGCAAACATACCAGGAGCTGAAGCTGAGGTGGAACACTTAAACCTGTTGGAGCAAAAATGAAATGCTGTGTAATGTAAGTTTCTTCTCTCTCTTTCTCTCTCTCTCTCTCTCTCTCTCTGTACACATATTTGTAAGTATATGTATATGTGTATATGTATGTATATATATATATATATATATATATATATATATATATATATATATACATATACATATACATAGTGAACCCTCGTTTTTCGCAGGAGTTACGTTCCAAAAAGAACCCGTGATAGACGAAATCCGTGAAGTAGTAACCTTTATTTTTTAACAATTATTATACAATGAAATACTCTACAATACACTGAAACCAAAGACCAAACCTTTTTACAGGCCCAAGCATTTGTTTAACAAATAAAAGTACTGTATAAACGTTGTTTACAAATAACTACTGTACTGTAAAATAATAATTTTAATCATCAATACGAACTGAAGGCTTCATGGATTTTAGAGAAAATTTGCAAACTTAAATTTGGCAAGCTGTATTATGTACATGTACGTATTAAACCGTAACATTATTGACACACAGTTAGAGAAGAAGTGGAGAGACTGTTCAGCCAATCAGAATGCAGAACACAATGCACAATGCAAGTCCGAGAAGCAACGAGAACGTGAAAGGTGAACCGCGTTATAGCGAAGGTTCACTGTATATATATATATATATATATATTATATATATATATATATATATATATATATATATATATATATATATAATATATAAATCATGCATATTGCATATTCAATAGTAATGCATATTTTATTATAGCTAACTATTAGTAAATTGTACAAAAGTTAAATTATATACATCATTTTCAATTAGAATGAGTAATGCCTACCTCTCATATTTCTTCCTCGTGGTAACCCTTGATTAATCTTGTCAAGAAGAATTTTCGTGCAGTCCTTGGTCAGCCTGTGACGTTCCATGAACTCATCCGAGAGGGACACAAAACGGTCTGCACGATCCCTCAGAACTATAGCTGGAACCAGACTGCATCCACTCGCTCAACTTGCTCCATTTCATTAAGCTGCATCAATGCATACATGACTGGAGCCTGTACCCAAGAAAAAAGAAAAAAGGAAGATACATGGATAGATAAATACACACGCAGAGGGAGAGAGGAAGAGGGGGAGGTGGATGGGGAGAGGGTGTGAGTGAGTGAGTGAGTGAGAGAGAGGGGGGGAGGGAGGGAGGGAGGGAGGGAGGAGGGAGGGAGAGAGAGAGAGAGAGGAGAGAGAGAGAGAGAGAGAGAGAGAGAGAGAGAGAGAGAGAGAGAGAGAGAGAGAGAGAGAGAGAGAGAGAGAGAGAGAGAGAGAGAGAGAGAGAGAGAGAGAGAGAGAGAGAGAGAGAGAGAGAGAGAGAGAGAGAGAGAGAGAGAGGGAGAGAGGGAGAGGAGAGAGAGAGAGAGAGGAGAGAGAGAGAGAGAGAGAGAGAGAGAGAGAGAGAGAGAGAGAGAGAGAGAGAGAGAGAAGAGACAGAGAGAGAGAGAGAGAGAGAGAGAGAGAGAGAGAGAGAGAGAGAGAGAGAGAGAGAGAGAGAGAGAGAGAGAGAGAGAGAGAGAGAGAGAGAGAGAGAGAAGAGAGAGAGAGAGAGAGAGAGAGAGAGAGAGAGAGAGAGAGAGAGAGAGAGAGAGAGAGAGAGAGAAACTGTCATATTTAAATAATATTTTCAAAAGTACATGTAATTTATGTAAATAAATGTCTTAATATTTGTAATAATTTTGTCTAAAAACAGTACTGATTGGAATGTCTGGAGGGCTATAAACACCTTTAGTCACAGAACTTATTTTTCGTAAGTTAGAAGGTTATTTCATATACAGTGAGTAACTTACCGTCTTCAAACTGATTTCCCAGACGACAGCAGAAGGTGTCAACGCCGGTATTACGAGAAAAGGCGAATTAAAGCTCAAATATCGTGATCTGCGGCAAGCAGTGTTGACGTTTGGCCGGTAAAACTCTGAAGGGTTGATCGTAGTTTTTCTAAAAAAACAATGTATTCCCTTTTTTTTATTAACAGATTCATTTTAAAGTCGCTTATTATTTTTAAGTTTGTAATTAGCTGCTATATGTAAGAATCAGGGAGTATTTTTGATATTTGAAACATATTAAAATTAGGGAATGCCTTTAGGGATGGGTAGGCCTGCCCGAGTTTCTCGATCGAGTTCCAATAATATTTCACGTGCCAGGCACAAAATAATTGCGTTGAAATCGTTTAACAAATCAAAATAAGAAGTTAACCCTAAAATAAGCACTGGGTAGGGCCTTCCCTAAATTTAACAAACCGGCCGAGTAGTAACTGTAGTATGAGCGCTGGAGCCCTGATCGGATTAATAGCCAACGTCAAGGGATTAATTACTTTTCAGGGTATCATAATGTACTGTCCATGTGAGGCCAATATAAGAAGCAGACTTGTAACATTCAAGTCCGCTCCCCTTCTACGGTAATACGAGAAAAGGAGGAGGTAGGGACTTCTTTCATACCAGCCTGTCCAGTTGCCGGGCTTCTGGTGGTACTGCACTCGTCTCGCGTTGAAAAGACGTTTTGCTAATTGAGGACTCCATGCGATGAAAGTACAGGTCTTCGTCTTACAAATTCCGTTCTTTTCCTATTTTAACTCTCCGTTATTTCACTCTCTCCCCTCTCTCCTTCCCCTCCTCCCTGTAATAACAACAACTCCTTATTTGTAATTTAACAAATCGGCAACATTTAGGTTATTCATGGTATGGAGGGAAACTCTCTACTTCACTTACGGTCATCATCGCTAAAAACATCGTTAACACAGCATAACTTAACGGTTTTACATCTTATCATCATTCTATATAGTCACGGATATATGATAAAGATGATATTTATGCTGAAAATCATGATAATATAAAGATATTAAAGCTTTTGATACAGTGACAGAATTTTAGAAAATGACACTGGGAAAACGAGAAATCAAGTTCATATCAGTTAGAAAACAAAACGAATAATTGAAGAAAGAAAAGAATTTTAAAACGATTGTTGTTTTTTGCCGAAATCTATTGGAGGCCGTTTAGACAAAAGAAAAGTATTATAAGCACATTTAATAAAGGAAATAACTTAAAAGTCCATTTAGGGAAAAAAAACATGATAACATGCCAGATTATTTATTTTTCCATGTTCTGACTTTATGTACCTTACACTTTGTTCTTAATATTTCGTTTTGCTTTTATTCTCTCTCTCTCTCTCTCTCTCTCTCTCTCTCTCTCTCTCTCTCTCTCTCTCTCTCTCTCTCTCTCTTTCCTCCCTCTCTCTGTCTCTTTCCTCTCCCTCTCCTCTGTCTATCTTCCTCCTCCCTCCCTCTCCCTCTCTCTCCCCCTCTCTCTCTCTCTCTCTCTCTCTCTCTCTCTCTCTCTCTCTCTCTCTCTCTCTCTCTCTCTCTCTCTCTTTCTCTCCCTTCTTTCCCTCCTTCCTCCTGATATCCCTCTGTCTATCTCTCTCCATTCCCCACTTGTGTCGCCACTATAATACTCACCACTCTTCAGACACTTAATTTTTGCTTTTAATTGTAAATATTTCGTAGGAAAAAGTTTAATGATTATCGAAACGAGGCGGTACTTTATATAACGAAAGAAAAGAAAAAAATAAATTGTCAGTAAGAAAATAATGTTGCTTCAAAAGAATTTCTTTTTTCGCCAAATATAGCATGGGGGGAAACATTTATTGGACGATAAAGAATGAAAATGATTTTTTTTTTTTTTATTGGACCGTTCATGGATAGGATAGCGATTCTGTAAGCACGTCAGTTTCTTTTTTTTCAATTCGCTTTTTGCAAATTGTAATAACGATAAAATTATAAGTACAAACATTTCACATGTATCTGACACATTCTGTAAAGGCCATAAAACGCCACGTGAGTTGGACAAATATTGTTCAAAATGGAATGCTTGCTCACAATATATCGCGATAACAAAGACACATCTCACGAAAGCTCAAAATCACTAATGACTCTCCATTTCTATACGTTTTGCTTATCCTTTCACAAACTCGGTACAAGTGTTGTTTGGGCTGCGCGGTCCGGCTTTGTGCCTGGAACCCCTGGAACTTCTAAGTCAATAGTGGAGAGTGGTAAACTAGTTCGCATATTTCGTGTATGATGGAGGTATGTACTGTGTATGACTGTGAATTCTGAACGTCGTTTATGTTCTCCAGGTTCCATTGTGAATTGAGTACTATCGATGTTCTGCAGATTGAACTATTGGGACTAGTTTTGTTTTCTATGAGTAATTTGATTTGGATTTTGATTGATGTGTGAATTACTTCATATAACAGAGCACTTGCTGAAAAGAAAATGATAAAAATAATTTCGTTCAAAATCAACAAGATCTAATCAGTCCGATCACTATGTTTGCAAAACCTGCGACCCAAAAAGTATGTGATTGCTGACCAGCTGGAAATTAAGAACACACACACACACACACACACACACACACACACACACACACACACACACACACACACACACACACACACACACACATACAAACACACACACACACACACACACACTCAAACACACACACAGATATTAATGTACGGATTGAAAAGCACTTATTTGTTGGGAGTGTAATTGCAATACTGGAGGGAAGTTTTTTTTTTCGCTTATCCTACATTTATATTTCAAAATTAGCATTTAAAGGCTTCAGAACGGATATTTGCAGCGAAGGTGTTGCGTTAAGAACTTTCAGAGTGCGTTCATCGTTACAATGGTGTCATTCAAAAAAAGAGATTTAGTAGGAGTGAAATGTGCTGCCTTCTCTCTCTCTCTCTCTCTATCTATCTATCTATCTATCTATCTATCTTTCTCTTTCTCATTCTCTGGCTCTCTCCCTCTCTCAGTCTATTTATCTATATAATTTTGAACAATGCTTTGTTATATATATTCATTGAACATCTTCGGAATCTTGTAATCGTATGTCAGTCATGTATTTCGTCAATACATTTGTGTGATGTGTTTTTCTCTTTAATTCTGCAATTACTTCTTTCATGGCGTGTGATAAGATATGTTCGAAAAAAAAAAACTGACCTACCGCAAGGCTAGACTGAACTGACCGGGAATATCATTTTGTAATTTATCCCTCATTATGTCTGTACAATCATGGACCATCCCGGCCTAGTATGTATATATGATTTTATATATAGATAGATACAGATATAGATAGAGATAGATATTATATCCATTTATATTTATATATATGTGTGTGTGTGTGTGTGTGCGTGTGTGTGTGTGTGTGTGTGTGTGTGTGTGTGCATATATGTATGTATGTATTTGTGTGTATATAGAAAGAGGAATGAGTAAAAAAAAAAAAAAAAAGAAGCCCTAAAAATCATCTATACAACGATTTAACGACCCAGAAAGAGAGAGAGAGAGTGAAAGAGTAAGAGAGAGGGGGGGGAGAGAGAAATCGTAAAAGAAAAAAGAAAAAAACAGTCCTCCTGCACTCACCGTTAGCATCGACACTGCACAAAGACGGTGAATTCGGCGACAAAGCTGTTACCCACGACGTCCAACCCGCACCTGCTCCAAGGAACGAGACCGCGAGCCAGGCTTTGAGTTCAAGAAGAAGAGCCAGATGTAATGTATAGACTGAACCGCATTCAAGACCTTAAACCTAATCTGGGGTCTTATAAAGGAATTTCAGTCTAGTTGGGGTTCAATATCAGCCTTATAGAATCCTTACATAGGGTAAAATTTATAGTCAACTCTTTCCTCGATTCAACAGGCAGTAGTGTTAACAAAAATAATTATTGCATTTTGGGCGACAACGAAGCATAAAGTTTGAATTCAGGTCTTGAGCTCGAATACACACGATCGTCAATGTGGTTGCGCTGGGAAACCCTTTACGAGTTATCATAATCCAAATTGCATTTCATCTCCACTGACCTGCTTTTCATATATAGCACAGATATTGAAGAATTCTACCTCGATAACACGGATCGAAATGAAATAAAACTTTTCCTATTACTGCTGAGAGACATATCCCCAGAATAGTATTAGTATCACTAGGAAATCCCTTTTTCA